ATTTGAAAAATATTTGCAAGGCTTGTTCAAACTCGAACAAACACTTAACTGTACAGATCTACAAACAATCTCGAGATTTTAGAAAGAAAGAAAAACACAATAGTTGCTTTTATTAAATCAAGAAATATCCAAAAATTATATAACCAAATTAAAAAAAACTAGAAACCAGTCAACATTTAATAAATAATTAAATAAATAAATAGACATTATCAAAAAGGTAAAATTTAAGGCGACGACGAGAATAAAATGTAGTTTTGTTGGTGTGGGGCTGTGAAGCGAAAACAAACACATCACAAAAAACTAGAAAAAAGTCGCAAGAATAGTAGTCAGTCACCTACCTACAATTAAATTACTCTCAGGGCCCTAGCTTACTTTTAATCATTAACTCAACTCACCTACCTACAAATATGTTTTTCTACGTTTTTGGAATTTTACGTGTTTTAGGTATTTTATTTTACATATTTCAGCGTTTTTATTTTACTTGAAACATTTTAACTAATGTTAAGCCCTAGCCTACCTACGATTGTTCAACTTATCTCAATCCCTAACTTACCTACGAATTAAATAGAAAATAGAAAGAAAAGGTAAAGAAAGAAAATAGAAAGTTTAAGGAAAACATAACAACAACGACACCGAATGAATGGATGTTGTGTATGTGTGTGTTTTATTGATGTGTGTGTGTGTGTGTGTGTGTAAATGTGCGGGCGTGTACTCTCCAAAAACTTCTTCACTCATTACGGACGAACCTCCATTGCACCGACCATCATCTGACACGCATCGATGGAATGAATTTGACCGGATACTGAAAAACACTAAATTGAAGAAAAAAAATTCTTTTAAGTAAAAAACAAGCCATTGGAAAAAAAGGCAACTTATCTTATTGAGATGACAAATTCGAGTACTTTCAATGGTACGATGGAACAAGAACAAATTTTCTTTTAATATTATCTTCAAATTGTCATCGGAGCGATCATCTGAAACATGCTGACGCCCACCACAGCCCACTCTCATCATTCTGTAGACAAGTTTTTTTTAAATTAGCGTGTTGGTAAATAATCAAGGAACAAAAGAACGAACGAATAAATGATTAACTGAATGATTGAATGATTGGTTGAATGAATGAATAATTAATTAATCAATCAATAAATGATTTAACGAATGAATAGAATGAATCAATTAGTGGAGGAATAATTTGAAAGATAGTGATAAAATGAATGAGAAAAATAAAAAAAATTAAACCATACTTCAAAAATCGTCGTTGTTGTTTTCCTCGAATTGTCATCGGAACGATCATCATGAGACCATCATGTGAAACGTGCTGACGCCCACCACAGCCAACCTCTCATCATTCTGTAAAAAATTATTTTTATTAGCTTAGTAGTAAATCAAGGAACAAAGGAACGAACGAATAAATGATGAACTGAATGTTTAAATAATTAGTTAAAAGAATGAATGAATTAACGTCAATTAATGGAAGAATAATTTGAAAGATTGAGGGAAAAAATGAATGAATGAGAAAAATAAAAAAAAACGAAACTAAACCTTACTTCAAAAATCGTCGTTACTTCA